CCCCAAAACCCCAAAACCCCGTGCATTCGAATATAATACAAAGCAAAAGCCAAAAGTTGAGTTTAGTCTATTATTAATTAATTATGAATTTTTATAATAAAAGCTTTTTCTGATAAATTAACTGCATGATACCTCTCAAATTAACATATCTTTTATATTCTCAATTTCCTGCCTATAAAGCAATAGATCCCTCCTAATGTTTTCTTTTGTTTACTCTGAACAGTTCCTCTGAGCCCTCTATAATTATACTTAGTTTTGCTAGTGATTTTAAAAATCTTCATACTATTGCTAATTGTTTGGCTACTAATTTGTAATCTATTGCTATTACTGCTAATTAAATTAATTTTAACCTTGGTATTGTGGAAGATCTTACTATAGTTGACTCTTATTGATTTAGGATTTTTCTTAAGAAATGAGTTCGTTTATATGATCCATAAGTTCTCCAAATTTGAAGTTATGATCAGAGCTTTAAGAACTTGCATTATCTTCAAGTTTAGATTTAAGGAATGCTTGCAATGACTGATTCAAGTTTGGTGGTACAGTAATCTCATTTGTAATGACCAGTTCTTCATCTTCATCATCATCTAGGACCTCATGTGTTTGAATAATTACTTCATCAGATTCATTTATGATTTTTCCAGAAGAAGTTTGCTTAGTTAAAAACTGTCTAAATATTTAGAACTCACCCCCAGGTGGAATCGAATCAACCATTTTATTAGTGGCTCTAAAAAGAAACTTGAACAGAATAGGATCTCGAGATATGATAATATACTCGCTACCTTCATCATAAATACCTCTACTTATTGCATATAGCTTTATCTGATCAGTGAATTGCTTAAAAGTTATGCTCTAATCTTGTCTAATGCCGACTATACTGCTGAGTTCTTAATTATTTATTCTATAAAGATTGTTCTTAATTCTATCTAATTGTATTTCATTGTTAACTATATTGTATGAATCATCCTATGAAGAGTCAGAAATATTCTCTTCATTATCAATTTAATGGCTAGGTTAGATTCCTGCTCCCACTTTTCTATGATTAGGCTTTTTAGCTGCTTGTTATTTATTTCTCTGACTGGATCAATGCTTTTATTTTGATTTTTATTATTATTTGTTCTCTTGAGTATAATATCTAGTTGTTCGATTATTCTACCTAAGTTCATACCTTTACGCCTGTGACTAAGTCAATTATTGCTATTATTAAATTGATTATTGTGATCCGATAATTGCATTGCAGACAAAGTTTTAGAACAATTACATAACCATTGAGAATGGGACTGGGATATTACCGAATTGCTGCTACCAGTTCTCAAGTTATATTCTCATTTATTCCAATTAATTCAGAGCTAATTAATTTTATTAATTCTTTTAACTTGGTTAGTTATTTTAAGAAGTATTAGTTCCATACGTTATTGGTAGCTATCTGAATTGATTAAAAGCATTGAAAATTGGATTTTGTATCTAAGAAGGATCTTGATAGAACCTCTCTCTTGACCTACTTCTAGCAACTTTTGCTGTGTTCTTTTTTCTATTAATATAAAATTTCTTATTATTCCTTTTATTTCAACTTTGCTGCAATTCTACTATTTCATCTCCTGTACTAGGTGTATCTATGATGTACTCATCGCTACTTGTCAACTCATTCTCATCTACCACAAAGCCATCTAGATCATCATAGTTGTCTATAGTTTTCTTTGAATTAATGACACCTCCTGCATACTAAGTGATTCTTTTAACCCTATGTTTTTACTTTGTTTCAACTTTTGGTTCAAAATCTCTCATTTTAACAACGTTCTCAAATCCTTTTGTTTAAATCTCTTATATTGCTCTTGCTTCATGATCAGGACAGAATACTGCGTAGTTAAATTCATTCGTAGGACACCTTTATCCCTCCATATCATCTAATGGTCTCAGAATTCCTTACTCTATTCCACATCTTATATGAAAATGCCTTATGCATTTGTAGTAATCACAGCCAATACAGACCTGTCCATCCAACTTGTTACATATATAGCACTTTCTATTTTTTCTACTCTCTCTTAACTTACCTACTATTTTAATGATTTCAACATCATCCTCAGGATATATTTCTGGTATCCAATTCACACAACTGAAATGTACCCAGCTTTTATTCTTTAGCTTACGCATTATGCCTCTAAAATCACTGCAATACATACATTATATATGAGTATAAGGCAGATTTTTCTCAGTAATCTCATGGCATCTTTCACATAAAAATGGCTACTTCAAATCTAGATATCCTTTGTCTAGCTCTCGTCCATAGCAGCTTTAATGAGTAGCTCCTAAACAATATTCACAAACTATTATCTAGTTATCATCAGTAAAATTAGCACTTAAGCAAACTTAGCAAACTATTCCTTCATCTATAATATGACAGACCTAAAGAGAATTTAAGTGAGTAGATAGAAAATTTACCTCTACAATTTGAATAGGAGCTGAAGTTTTCTAAGCTATCTATTTTCTCAAATCATTCATTGGATCCATAAGAACTTCTTATAAATTGATTTAATACTTTTGGTTATTTTAATCTATTATATAGCGATTAATTATATTATTATTCTTACTCAGTATAACGACATCTGATGATCTATTGCTCATTTTATTGATATCCATATTTTACATCATATTTGTGACAGATGAATTATTTGAGCCATTGCTTTATCCCTCATTAGAATGATTATGTTGATCCCTTAGTTGGTAATGATAATTTGAATTGGCTTTTGCAGTTGATGTATCAATTTAAACCACTTCATAGTCCTAATTTTAGTTCATTTAATTAGAGTAGTGATTTGGAACATTATTTCCTATGCAATTATTTTGGTAAGATGGGTTCCCATTATCAAGACTATAGTGTGAGTTAAAATTATTACTGTAATTATTATTCATATTGCTATTGAACTAGACTGGATTGTATGCAACATTAGTTGCTATCTAAAAGTTTTCATTAGGAAATGCATATTTCTAGTGCTACCCTGATTGCTAATGTGCTATTGAATTTAAATTGAAAGAAGAATCCTAATGCTAGAAGTTGCAATAAGAATCTTAATCTGCAGCAATATTTCCAAGATGATCCATGATTCCAAAATTTATTAATTAGTTTTTTTGTCCAATAGAATTCATTTTTGAAAGGATATTTTTAGTATTAAAATCTAATCGAATGTTCAAATGAATGACTTATTATTTAGTATAGAATTAACCAAAAGATTTTTAGATAATCCTAATAATTTAAAACTAATTATTAGCTTTTAATACTAAAACGCAAACTCAAAATATTATCTTGTATTTTGATAATACGGGGTTTTGGGGTTTTGGGGTTTTGGGG